ACTCACAAACTATTACTGAATCAATTAGTATAGGCATGCAAAACCAGGACATAGGACCAGACACAACGCAAGCCTCTCACCTGTTCAAGTTGATAAACTCTTTGCACCCCCTGACTTCCTTTATCCAGCAAGGAAACTTCCTTCACAGCAATGAAGCATCCGCAACTGCAGGAAAGAAAACTCATAATCAACAAAGTTGTAAAAAATATCAGAACTGATGGAAAGTTGAAACAAGGTTAGGACAATGGAAAAATCAACACGGGACTTGACTTTTGGGGACTGGGGTTGCAATTATATATATATGTGTGTGTGTATATATATAGATGTATGTATATAATGAACCAGATTGGCCTAGCGGGTTTTGTTCTTGAGATTTTGGAACTGTACCAAACTATACAATGAGCTATGAACAATGATGGTTTGGGTAATCTAGAGAAAAAAGGCATCTAGGACAGACATGTTTCAGAGAAAGAGAAACAGAGACAGAAGTATCTGACCCAAAGGCCAATTGAAAACCCCAGACCAAGCTAGGGAGAAAACAAAACCTTGCCAAAAAGCAACGAGAGACAAACCCAGTACAAAAAACTCTCTCTCTATCTCTCTGTCTCTGTCTCTGTCTCTCTCCCGTGTCTTCCTCCTAAAGCCCCAAGAACACAAAGCCCCCAATCTCATAGAAACCAAAAAAAACCTAATTTCATTACATATATAAACCCAAAAATCATAAATGTAATGAAAAGATGAACTTACTGATGAGTAGCTGATTGTTGTTAGCAATGAACTTCCTTGATTGAGACTGGAATTTTGAGATAGCGAAGGAAGAAGAAAAGTGAGAAGAGCAGAGAGTGAAGGTCTCAGAGAGAGTGAAGGTCGCGAGATATTTTGTGAGAGGGACAAACGTTGTCCTTTCGTAAAATGTTTAGGGGCATTATAGGAATAATGAAACTTTCATTAATCAAAAAACCGGCTCTTTTTTTAAGCAGCTTTTGAAAGCTGGGTATTGGCTGCTTTGAGTTTTTGCTTTTTATGATGGGTGTTTTTAAAATAAGCTTGTTTTTTTGGGTTTACCAAACACCCAATTCATGCCAAATTTTTATTAAAGCTGCTTTTTAAAAAATTTCAGCGGGGCCAAACGCCACCTTAATGCTCTTCTTTTTTACTACCTATGCGAAAGGAAAATGAAATTCAAGTGGGTTGGAGGGTTTCATTTAATTTCTTATGTCACCGAACATAAGAAATTAAATTATTTTCTAAACTAATTTGCTTGCAAACCAAACGCCTACAATTTTTAAGTACGGGTGTGAGACGAAGGGAAAATAGAAAAGATTAGCAAAAAGAAAAGAAAAAATAAAGAAGAGGATAAACTGGCGTCAGCTAGAGTTCATAAGCCCAATGGGCCGACTTTGTACCGAAACAGAACCAAAGCGAAGAGGAAGGATGATTTATATCCCAAACCGACCCGGAATTTTCACCTCTTTCTTTCTCATACAAGAAAAGTGCTTGACAGAACCCAAAAGAAATGCAAATTGCTGGCTTCACTCTCTGGTCGAATCAAATCGAAGAACGAAATTGAACAAGGTAAAAACCCTAAATTTCATCAACGCAAACTTCGGATGAATTATTTACGTGTGGATTCAATTGTTTGTTCGCGCTATTTTTTCCTTTTACTCCAGTACATCTTTCTGCGAATAAATCCCCAAAATTTTAGATGTACGTTTCGATGCTGAGAAAAACTTGAGAGAAAGTTAAAATTTCTTCGAAGAATTAGGAAATTTGAGCTAGTTTTGTTTTCAGCATCCGGTGATTAATTTAGGTTGCATTAACACTAAATTGAGTCTGATTTCTGATGGATGTTTTGTTGAAATCTTTCTTCTGCTTGCATCAACCCCAGTACATAAATCTAGGCTAAGTAACTGAAAACGAACTTAACAAAGGAGAAGGAAGTTCCAGAGAGAGAAAGATTGAGAGAGAATGGCGGACTATCACTTTGTATACAAGGACGTGGAAGGAGCATCGACGCAATGGGACGACATACAGAGAAAGCTAGGGAACCTACCGGCAAAGCCACCGGCGTTCAAGCCAGCACCTTTCACTCCAGCCGAGGACGAAGCCTCTCTTCCAAAGGACAAGTCCTGGATCGATGAAAAGACCGAACAGGACCTGGAAGACCTGGAAGACAATCCCGATCTTGACGACGATCGCTTCCTTGAGGATTACAGGTCCCTAATTGTTCATTATTGTCCTAATTACTTCCTTGCTTACTTCATATTGAAATGTAAATGTGAAAATTGGGTTGGTGTTGGATTAGGAAGAAGAGGCTGGCTGAGTTGAGAGAAGCAGCTAAGGTTGCGAGATTTGGATCAGTTGTGCCGATTTCAGGATCAGATTTCGTGCGGGAGGTTTCGCAAGCTCCAGCTGATGTTTGGGTTGTTGTGGTTCTCTACAAAGAAGGAATTGCAGAATGTGGAGTGTTGATGCAGTGCTTGGAAGATTTGGCTACGAAATACCCAGCTACCAAATTTGTCAAAATAATATCAACCGACTGCATCCCAAATTACCCAGATCGTAATGTTCCCACTGTTTTGGTGTACAACAATGGTGCTGTCAAAGCAAATTACGTGGGCTTGCAGAGCTTTGGCAGGAGATGCACGCCTGAAGGTATTTTCACTTTGAATTTAATTGGGTTTTTTTGAGCTTCATGTTTCATTTTGCTTTCATTTGCACAGATGGAGAGATATTCCAGCTTCTGTTGGATTATCAAATGGGAAAATGAATTGAAATTCTTAAGCTTTGCAACTCAAGTGAATTAACATGATGTATATTATTTGATCACAAATTTTTTTGACCATAAACTTCAATATTGGTTGTGGCGTTTTGCTGCATTTTGAGATCATTTTGGACCATTTATACATGCCTTTTCCTGAATTTGGATACGCATGATTAGTATTATACTTGGCCCTTGATGTGAGCCAGTATTCTATGAAATTTCTTAACTCTTTTTGATGAATTTTCTTCTGTGCATTCCTGAATATCAGGTGTGGCATTAGTCCTCTGCCAATCAGATCCTGTGCTCAATGATGGCCAGAGCGGAAATGATCGGTCAAGGAAAGCTGTGATCGACGGAGTTCGCAAGAGGTTTATAGAGAAAGTTGTGACGGAGCATGAAAATGATGACGATGGATCTTCAAGTGATTAGGCTTTATATTTGTCCCTTTTGTAAGAGTTTGAGTTTAGATGGATCAAAATGACTCTTGTTTGTGCATCTTTTTTGTTCTTGTACAACCTTTTTGGTTTTCCCATTATTTGTGAAAGAGTATGATTGTGATGTGTTAAGAGTAATGACGTGAACTTTGTATGATACTAGAATACGGGTATGCGATTTACCAAAAATACAAAGAATACGGATTTAGTATCAATACATGTGGACGGGTTATACAACGTGTGATCATATTTCAGTATTATATTATAATTACTCGAATTGTCACAATATAAATCGATTTTTTTTCCTTTTTAAGGCTTATGGCAGCTAGAGCTCCTAAGCCCAATGGGCCAACCATGTACCCAAACAGAACCAAAGCAATACGAGGATAATTTTGTATCCGAACCGACCCGGATACTTTCACCGTCGTCATGCTTTCTGTTTTTTTTTATAGGAAAAGTTATACTTTCTTATATATGAACGAAGTACAAATTGCTTTCCAGCACGAAAAAAAAACGAAGTACAAATTGCTAACGTTTCTCTCTGCTCGGATCAAATCGAAGAACAAATTCAAGAAGGTAAAAACCCTAAACTCAGGATCAATTCTTTTCGTATGTGTTCAAATGATGTTGGTGCCAGTTTTTGTGCTTTAGTATTTCTCTCTGCAAATAAATAGATGCCAAAAGTTTTAGGGTTACGTTTGGGGCTGAAGAAAACCTGGGAAAAATCTAAAATTTTCTTCGAAGAATTGGGAAAATATTGTTTTCAGCCTCCGGCGGTTAATCATCTGTTTCCTTTCTCTAATTTTTCGTGGATTTCGTTGCTTGTTTGCTGAGAAAAGCATGGAAACGAAAAGAAGCTGAAATTTCAAGTTGCATTAACTCGAAATAGAAATTGAGTTTGATTTCTCTTGGATATTTTGTTAGAATTTCTGTTCTGCTTGCATCAACCCCTCTTTCTTTTTTGGTCAAGGCCTTCCTCATCATCGGCTTCTTCTAATCTTTAAATCCATAACTTTCCTGCCCCCACCAGGAAAAAGAACGCCATTTTCAAATTAGTGTCTGTTTTGTATAAAAATAAAAGAAAAAAAATCTTAAGGATAACTCAATGATTGAAAATAACCTTGAATTTCAGTACTCTCTCCCTCACACACATTTGTGTGTATGTTTTTGTTTTATTTTTATGTGCTATTTGCACTCAGATGTATTTTATGAGCATTGTACGTATGTGATTATTGGTGTACGCTTGTGGATGGGTTGTGAATTTTAAGTTTATTGTTTGGTTGACAGGTTTTGTGAATATAATTTGAAGACATGACGACGGCGGCTCGACCCACGTGGGCACCTGCAAAAGGTGGTAATGAACAAGGTGGTACTCGGATTTTTGGCCCTTCTCAGAAATACTCATCAAGGGACATGGCAGCCCATACAACTCTAAAACCCAGGTTGGTCCTTGTCATTGTTACAGATATTGATTTTTGTTAACTAGTTTGGAGTGTGTCACATCGAATTCTAAATTTCCACTCTTCCGTTCAATATTTCTGGTCTTTGTAGCTGGTTTTCCTTGGATGCCAATTTTAAACTTTGTCTTTGTTGGTGTGTTATGTGTATCTAACAGAAAGGAGGGGCAAGACACCCAGGACGAGTTGCAGAAGAAGAACCTCCGAGAGGAGCTGGAAGAGCGTGAGAGGAAGCATTATTCATCAAAGGATAAATCTTATAGTTGTATGATATCTTCCTCACCTCTTTTTAGTGCCTTTCTGGGGGTGGGGAGTGGGTTTCTTTATTTGTCAATTTCTTGATTATACAGTGATGTGATATTCTTTTTTCATTGTTTCTAATTGGTATGTGCATTGTGTAGATGACAGAGATCGCAGGAGAGGAAGCCAGCTGTTGTTGGAAGGTGTATATTCTAGCTCTTACATTTCACATTTTAAGGTAGAAAGTTCATTTAAGTAATTGCTCGCTTTACTAACTGCATAATATCTTTATGGTAATAGGGGGCAGAAGGGACACTGAAATTGTGCCGCGTAATGTAGATGCTGATGATTCTGATGTGGAAGTCAAAAGTGATGATGAAAGGTTGGTATTCATTGCATATATATTTGAATGAAAATGCATAAATAATCCCCAGTGAATTGCTAGCCTAGTTTTGTGTTGAATTATCATAGTTCTATCAAATCTTTTGTTGCAAGGTTATGTGAGAATAGATAAAACTTACCTGATGGTTTTCTAAACTTAAGAAAGAGGCATTGTTTATAAGTCATGTATGTAGTGAACTAGATACGTGTTTCTGTCTTCCAGTTTCTTTCATGGTTACTATGGGCTTTGTTTGCTCAACTTCGAAACTGAAGAACCAATGTGCAGAATTTGTTTTATCACAATCACTCATAACTTGTCTGCTTACAGTTGAGGATGTTTTTATTATGAGGTAGTGTTTATGGAACTTCTTGGTTCCCGACTTTCATTTGAATTGATAAAAATATCTGCAGCTCAAAAATAGCTACTTAAAGACTTTCAACAATCTTTTCATTTGTTGGTAGTTATGATTCATTTGCTTGTATAGTTCAGTCCGTGTTTTGTGGTGGAATGATATTACCACTTGATTTGCTGATATATTTGGACCAATTACTTTTTATCATAGTTCTGAAGAAGATGATGATGATGATGAAGAAGCTCTGATGGCCGAGCTTGAACAAATTAGGAAGGAAAAAGCAGAGGAGAAGCTACGAAAGGTGAGATATCTATGAAGTGATTTGACACTTTATCGTAAGATTGTCAATTGCTTTGGTCTCACTGATTGTAAGGAATGTAACTTTTATGCTTCCACAGGAACGACAAGAGCGGGAGGAAGAGCTTAAAGTCAAGGAAGCAGAGCTTCTCCGAGGGAACCCTTTGCTTAATGGTGCAACAGCCACATCCTTTAGTGTGAAAAGAAGGTTAGTAGTCAAGATTTTACTCATGGCTAGTTCTGTGATCAAATTTTTTTTTAAAAATAGTAGCTCTATTGGGTCTTTTTTTCTAACAGCTCTGTTCTTTCTGCATCTTTTGGCCCAGATGGGATGATGATGTGGTGTTTAAAAATCAGGCCCGTGGTGAAACCAAGACTCCAAAGCGCTTCATCAATGACACTGTCAGGAATGACTTTCACCGCAAATTCCTGCATAAATACATGAAGTAATGTCATAAATCAATCTATATCTTGAGATGGGACCCCCCGAGCAACAAAGTCAAAATGAACTTTGTCTTTAACAGTTGTATGTACTATAATGTTGCAATTGAATGCACTGTGCTTGATTCAAATTGGCTTGTTCTGAAAGAAAAAGAAAGGGGTGTCGAAGATGTAAGGCTTGTAAGCTGGATCTTGATATTGAATGTTACCTGTTTTATGAAGTTGGAAGGAATAGTTTGTTTGTTGAACTTGTTTATGCAATTGGTTTGCATGAATGGTGAATATTTAAACAAGTTGCAGCTTGGTCTTTGGTGGCCTACGATATTGGTGAGGTGGGGATGTTTCTAATATATCTGATTATGATGTGAAATTATAAAAGTCGACAAGTTTTCAGCTTCCTTTGATGAACCGAGGTTATCGGAGGAATGCATCGTTCTACGAAAATGGGCATGAATACCCAGAACTAAATCCATGGTTTCATTTGGAAAAAGTGAAAGTGCTGGTAAAGCAAAGTGACTATCCAGAGCTTTTTGTTGCACTCAATTTGCAGATCGACTGAAGCAATGCATAATAGCACTGTAATGGACTTTAGATTTTGAATTACCAAAGCCGCAATGTATGGTTTGTAAACAACAAAAATAAGATATTACAAGAAAGTTGCTTATTGACAGCTAATTTGGTACTAGAGTAACACACAAGGAGAAAATCTACAAATTTTCATTTCACTGCCAACAATTGATAGGATACAAATTACAGCCACCAATCTAATCTTACATCGAATGAGGAAGAGAGATACCATAAATGAACTCATCTTACTTTACAAAAAATACAAATGCAAAAAGAACTCACAACAGCCTGTTTCATATTAAGATACAATGAATTAACACACCATGTGAGTGGGGGAAAGCACTCACAACAGACTGGCAAAGAATAATGTGCTTGCAGTTCAGATTAAGCTGCAAACAAATAAATAGAAACTGGTGAGGAAATCAGACAAGCATGCTCTCTACTCAACTTTATTCTTCGGTTCATCCAGAACAAATTCCACGTACAAATCCTTAAGCGCAATCACAACTGTAGTTATGAGGGGACCCATAATTGCACCCTGAGAACAACACAAGAAATAAGAAGATTAGCTTAAGATCGTGATGACCAAGTTGAATGCAAAGTTTATGTGATGTGATCAAATGTATGAAACTTAAGATATCTGATTGTCAATATTATGTGAACCTCCCCTAAGCAATGAAGAATGTTTTCAACACTGTTGTTTCATAATCTCCTCCACTGATGACAAAAATGACCTTATATCCTCTTCTAGGAATTCCTACCCCTATTTTAGTCAGTTCACTAGGAAGAAGTAAACCACTCACCCCCACTCCACTAAGTTTTTGAATTGTACAACGAGATGACTTCCTAGAATCCAGTTAAAAAGATGCAAAATTGAAACTAGTTCAACTCTTAAATTGGCTTATTTTCCGAAGTAAAACAGTTATCATCAACATTGTATTTACCTCGAGTGCAGATGGGAACAAGGTCATTCCACCAAGGATGCTAAGTCCTGTAAGATATTCACTATGACCAGGTATATCCTCCTGAATTTCAGATGCGCCATAATCCATAAGCACGAGATGAATAACGGACAAGATGATGGCTACTATATATCTCCCTTCCAGTACCAGTTGAAGAGCTGCTGGAATAGTTGCAAACCATGATGGAAAGATTGGCAGCAGAGAGCTGAGGATTGCAAGAACGGTGGACATGTACAAGAAATGTATTTTGTACAGTCTTAATAAAAGCCATGTGAGACATCCCTGAAAAATTGCAATCTCAGCTGTAGCCAAAAGAACACCAGATATAGCATTATCAAGAACTTCAACACATCTAACCCTCGCAGACTTTGAAATTGGAAGCATACTCATCACTTGTTCAGTCACTCCACCAGACTCAGATGTGATCAGATAATACAATACCCAGAAGAATACCATTAACTGAGATACAAAATTGAAAATCTCAGCTGCTCCAGAAACAATGGAACTACCAACGGAGAACATAAATTTTGCACTACCTCCAAGAACAGATGTACTACTAGCAAGTATGCGTTGTGATACATCCATTCCTCGAATTGCAAATCCTTTTGCCTTCTCAACTAAATCCTCCCTGGTAATTACTAATTCCCTAACAATTGCATCAACCTCTGTGTAAATATGTCCCCATTCCCTCTTACTGATCCGATTTCTCAAACTCAGAAGTTTTTCTGTGTACGGAGATGGGCTAGCTAATGCCGTTGAACGCTCTGAAGAATTGGCAGACTGTCTTACTACAAAATGCTTAATCCCAGTTGCAAATTCTGTCATATTATACTGCATTGCCAAACTATCTATCTGGTCTGACACTGTTTCATACAACTTGGAAGTGTACCTATCCACCATTCCAGGCACATCATTCTCCTCCATCCACTGCTTAATACCAATCTTCTCCGTGTAATTGCTCTCTTCAACATGTAATTTCAATGAAATCACTGCATCTTTACTCTCAACTCCAATCTTATATGAAAAGAATGTGACACCAACCAAAAATCCCACAATCATACCAAAAATCAACCCAATTGCCACAACGGTTTTCAACCTTATCAATATCCTTCGGGTGAAAAAGGCGCTAATTGGGCTACGACGAAAGCTACTACACCTCAAAGAGGATACAGTCGACATTGTCGAATCAACACCTTTGGCACTAAACAAAAAGCCTAATCCAAGAATTGCCAGAGAACCAACACCACCAATTCTCTCATAAGCAAGTATAAGTATCCAAAACGATACCAGCCACCTTAATAACTTGGAGAATTCACTCTGATGCCTCCTTCTGTACTCAGATTTAGGCTTTCGGAGAAAAATCCGGAAACAAACTTCTCGAATTTCAACCAGGGTACCAACAAAAACTCGAAATATTGCCACAGGGACAGCCAAAACAGTCTCAGTGAGGCCAAGTCTTAAGGGTTCAGACCAAAATCCCACAAAGGTTTGTTGTATACCTCTGAGAGGAATTGAACAAAGCACAGCCCACTGAATTGGTCTCAAGTATTCCTCTAAGAGCTTGCCCACAGCGTAAAGTATAAAAATTGTAAAGGCAAGGCCAGCATGAGCCATGGTTATGTAGAGGGCTAAGCGTACCTGGGGATCGCCGGAGAGGTTGGTTTTGTGATCTGGATCGATGGGTTTTGACGGGTCCTTCTGCAGAGCCTGGGGTTCAGGCAACTGGGGCTCAGGGGTTGATGATTTTCGAATTGAGGCTGATCGGAACATGTCCTGCCATGCAGGGCTTGCAGAGGTTGCTTCAGAGCTTGGGTCTGAGTATGGCACTAAAGCCATCTTGAGAGAGAGAGAGAGAGAGAGCTTTATATCAAAGTTCGAATCTTTGAAGCTCTAACACTTTACTGTCACTGAAAACAGAGTTTCTTATTATAATTTATATGGAAGGAAAGGTTGGAATTTTTTTTGTTGCTGTGTTGAACTGAACTCAGAAAAACAGAGTTCAGATGGAATGAAGACTGAGAGACAAGAGAGAGACAGATGGGTAATCGGGCAGTTGAGTGGATGGAGCACAGACAGAGAGAGAGAGAATAAGAACCAAGAGAAGAGAGTCCAGGTGGGGTGGGGCAGGCAAGGCTGAAACGTGTGGACTTTTGACCATGAATGAGGGTGTGTCTGTTCCTCTGGCTTTGTAGTTTGTGGATGGCCTGTTTTTGAAGATACTGAAAAGAGTAAAGTTGTTGTAAGTGTAACTCGTATTATTGAATCACAAGATATTTTCATAAAATATTCGTCGAACAATGACCAAATTGCTCCATCACTTTTTTCACTTTACTTTTATGATAATAAACTTAATCCTGTCCAAAACTTTCTCTAATTATATCTTAATCCAAAGGGTTAGAAATTAACAATAATAAAATCCAAGGTTGAGTAAAATTAGGGGGCACCCGGGCACTCTTTCTTCAATCATCTTTTAGAAGCTCATTTTGTAATGTATTACCTGTTTCCAGAGTTAAATCATCTTCTTAATCTTTAATTAATTTCTGTATCAATGAAGAAGGAGACTTCAAACAACATTGTCTCATTTTGTCAAACTTTTGTGCTGATTTAAAGTTTATTTGCCCAGATATATGCAATGGCAACTCCAAGACAATGGCCGGCTATCTCATAAAACAAGGCACAAAAGGATGAACACATAAAGACTGCATAGAAATTTATGACATTGGTGGGCTATCTCACAAATCAATGAAACAGGCCAAATATAACTTGTGCTTCTGAGTACGGATATTCCTTAATCTTACTCAGTTATTTACTTCTGATTTTCACTGCCAAGCTAAAAGTTTCATTGCTTGAAAGCTTGGGTGAAAAAAGTGGAGATGATCATAGTACAATCCCTTAACCCAACACCGAAGTTCCTCTCTTGATTTGAACCTCTGCAATTGGGAAACATAGTAGAGCTTTGATTTCTCAAAGGTATCCATACTAAATGGAAATTATACATTCACATATTGCTTATACTAATTCTTCTCCGAAGGCAAAAGTAGGCGCATATCCGGTAACTTATTGCCATGGCCAGCAAAATCCATACTTCTTCCATGCCTCCATTCAAGTCTACCATGTCAAATGTAGGTGAACTCTGCAGAGACCTACACCCTCCTTTGCTTTCACACTCATATAGTTGATCACCAGAATACTGCACTTTCAGTAGAAGCCGAAAGCCGTAGTACATAAACGACAAGTACTTCAACCACTGCATAAATTTCGGTATATGCTGCAAACCAAAACAACATGATGTCACATAGAAAGAGTGAGTGTAATATAAAGACTCCGATGTTAATGTAAAAGGTTACTTGTAACGCAAGAAAATTTGCACAAGTTAAAAATTGTCCTAGAAAATGTGATTTCGGGTCAAATTCAATTAGATTACCTGCACATAATAGCCTCCAGTGAGAAGAAACAGCATTAGTATCAGAGAGGCAACCATCCCAGCCCTCCTAATACTCAAAACTAGAGCTCCAAACAGTTCTCCTGCCCCCTAATTAGGAAACAATTGAAGCTGTTTTATTCAACCATCAAACTAGAATTAAATTAACTTCATGTTGGAATTGTTAATTTTGACTTACTTGGCTTGTGACAGCTACCAATAATACGGAAAACAATGTGAGGAAGAAGCAAGGAACTGTTCTTATAAAGCCAGCCATGAAATACACAATCAACATGAAAAAGGTGGGATATAATACATGTGCCATCATGTCACACAGAGTGCTGCACACGTAGTATACGCTTAATCTATACATGTCTGCTTTTCTTTCCTTGACCAAGAAGACTTTTTCGAATGGAAACACGTATACGGCTCCAAAAATTGATGAAGATGTCCAGAAAATGCAGATGTAGAACATTAAGCCGACCTGCAGAAGAGTTTATATTGGGATGTTTATATATTTGATTCGATTTTATGACCCCCGGGTCACTGAAATTTACCTGATCTCTGAGTTGAGCCTCAGTGTCAGTCTTCGATTTCCACCAAAGAAGACCCAACAAGACTGCAACTCCAACCGCTTGAACCAGTCTTAGCTTATCAAAGTAGTCCCTGCATCTCTCTCTAAATGTTCTCTTAAACAATATCATGAACTGCTCACACCAGGTGATTGTCCAATCTTTTTTAGCCTGAATAGCTACTCGAAGGTGGTCTGGTGCTTTCGTTGTTCCATGATTCTCTTCTTTTTCTTTTGGCTCCAGCTGAGTTTTGTATTTGAGTTGTAGGTACTAACATAAATATAAAAACACATGTTGAGAGAGAGGAAGATACAAAGAATTTAGGTGCTGGAGATTTTGAAGTACTAGTTCTTACCCTGACCACAGCCTTCTCAGAGTCGAGGGTCCCTTGCCCTTGAGGTACCACGAGATCTTCAGGAACACTAATGTCGTTAACTTGTCCAGTGGCTAAATCAAGCAAGAACTCTGCAGGATTCATGGGAATTTCCGGGATGAATCTCAAAGACGAAAAGTACTCCAAAGACTCTGCACCCTTTCCATAGTACACAGGGTAACCTTCTGATATCAGCAAAAGTTTGTCAAATGAATGAAACATTCTGCTTGATGGTTGGTGGATAGTTGTGATTATTGTCCTTCCACCCTGTAGAACATCAAATGTGATTTTTAAATTAGCACTTCTTCCACAATGGAAATATTCACAGGGATCATTTCTTTCACAATGGCATTTCACTATTTGACCTTAGCAAGTCCTTGAAGAATCAGAAGAAGTCTATTAGCTGAGGTAGAATCAAGGCCTGAAGTTGGTTCATCAAGCAACAACAATGAAGGATCAACAAGAATTTCATAGCCTATACTGGTTCTTTTCCTTTCTCCTCCTGATATGCCTTTGATAAACCCTCCACCTATTCGTGTGTGACGACATCTATGATCATATGGGAGTAAATTTAGGACAAGAGTTCTTGAAACAAAGTTCTAGGTTCACCATGGAAAAGAAAATATTAAAGATATAGTATATACCTTTCAAGACCAAGCTCCTTAACAATCATCTCCACTCTTGCATATTTTTGCTGTCGGCTCATGCTGCTTGGAAGCCGCAAAAAGGCAGCGAAAACTAGAGTTTCTTCCACAGTTAATTGTGGGAACAGCACATCATCTTGTGTCACAAATCCAATCCTGTTGAGGTAAAACAAAAATGAAAGAACACAACATTACCATATCAATCAAATTTCCATGAACAAAGAGAGGAGCTTCATGGAGTTGGCTAACCTCCTCTTAAGAGCTTGATTATATGGGATGTCATTGTAAGTTATTTTGCCTTTGACATTGTCTAGTATTCTTCCTCCAATCACTTTCAGTAAAGTAGTTTTCCCACTACCAGAAGGTCCCATCAGAGCAAGAATTTCCCCTGGCCCAATGCTTCCTGTTATCCCCCTTAATATCTGCTTGTAATTATCTTCCATGTTGAGTTGTGAGGCTACTTTTGACACCATTGCTTTCACTGTGTTGCTAGAAGCCTTGCTGCTTCTCACCCTAAACTCCACATCTTCAAACTGCATTGTAAATATAAGCACATGAAGATCATAAGCAAAAGAAGAAGAAAAAAAAAAATGTTAAATTTGCTAACTTCAATTCAACTTTTTGTTTTCAAATTACTACCTTAAGAAAAATTGGAAGAGGCCCATCTTTATTGGTATTAGAACTCTCATCTTCTATGTCAATCTCTGAGTACCTGTTTCTAAGGTATGCTTGAGACATGAACTCTAGGTTGTGACCAAAGCCACTGCTCCCTGCAATCTGCATAGACCCCATTGTTGGGGGTGACATTGAGATGTCCTCAATCTCATCATCTCTCCTAATCTCCATGTTTTCGGACCGCCAAACCCGAGACCAAGGTAGAAGAAGCTGAAACTGTTTTTAATGGGGGGGCTGAATATCAACTGTGACAAACCAAAAGCTTGCCTATATAGTTTTGAGGCAGGGTGGTGTTTGGTAAGCCACATGCTTTCAGTGCTTAGTTTAGGTCTTGATGGAAAAGCTTGTTTTTATTTGTTATTCTTATTGCAACCAATTCTTGACTTTGCTTGGTAAACATGCCAAGGACATGACTAAAAATTAGCTCTTTATGGCACCCTAGGACTAGGACTAGGAATGAGAGCTCATTTCAGGCTTACATGCAAGTCACTTTGTATTGCTTCATATTCTAACCAAAGAAATAATACTCTCAAGTCTATTTGGCTTTTAACTATCAATAATCTTTCAAAAAGTAATAAAGATAAAATCTTCAGTGCCAGGGATATAAAATAAATAAATAAATACACATATAATTTATATCATTTGAAATTTCTTTTAAAATTTAAGATTAAACTATAGTATAAATCACGAGTTCTTCCTCTCTTGAATTGCAAAATTTTCCATCCGTGTAAAATGCTCAATAGTTTAATTCTTAACTCAGAACATCTACATAGTTGGGTTTACAAAGCTTCAAGTGAGAGGATGTCAACCTTAAGAGAAATTGAACAAATTTAAAATGATAAAAATAATAATAATGAAATGAAAAGAAGAAAAAAAAAAATTGCATAGGGAACGACGTCGGATCAAGTTCTTCGAACAGAACAAAGAAGCTCGTGTACCTGTAGTTGTAGAACACAAGAAGTCAACAGCCATACTTACCGAAAGAAAAAAAAAAAAAGGCACAAACAGCTCAGAAATCTCTCAATTTCATCAAAAAAATCAAATTCCATCGAAAAAAGATAAAAATTGAATGAAAATGGAAGAATCGCGGGAAATACTGCTAAAGTCGTTGGAGAACTCGGGCGTTTGCGTCCTAAACGACGTGTCGTCGGTCCGAGACCTGACGCCGGCGACCTTAGTCTCGATCTGTGGCCAGTCTCTCAACCTCATCGGCAAAACGCCGCCGTTTCCCACTTCCCTCCCTGATTCCTCCGTTGCCGACAAGTTCAAGCTCTGTACGGACATCGCTTCCGCGATCAAGAGCCTCGGTTACCTCGCCGACCTCAGTTTCCACCAGGTAAGAATCGTAAAGTTAACAAGTTTCGATTTTTTTTGGATATTTGTTTCGGTGTTTGTTTCCTGAGAAAATGCGAGAAAGTGAAAGCATAGCATTACCTTGCCGACCTAAATTTACTGAATTGGAACAACTTTTAGGCTCAGTATCACTGAATTGAATGAATTTGAATTGTGTTTTTGAATTGGAAGTATATAGTGTTTGCATAGTACTATACGTATCTGTTATATGCACAGAAATTATAGACATGAGGATCTTAAGCTATACGAAATATGGTATGTAGCTGTGCTAGCAACTTTGCTAATGCAAAATTACCATAATTTTTCTTTTTATATTTTTTTTAAAGGAAAATGCTTTTCTTACTAATTAAAGTTCATACAAATTGAGTAACCCTAGTAACCCTGTACTATTTAGGAAAGCAGGGCCGGCGTTCTGTGCGTTTGGAATCACTTAGGATCATTTGTTTGTAGAGTAACCAGACTGTCACTTGGAACCGTTGTGATTAAGCGAAATCGTGTTTAAATGTGCGGTCTTGATTAATTTCCAAGCTGTCTAGCAAGTTTCTCTTTTAGTTTATTTGTATAATGACTGGCTAATTCCCAGTATATGCAATTGAATGTATGAATTGTGTGAGATTGCTTCTCATTTGATTTGAATTTCTACGTGCACTGTTTTTTTTTTTTTTGCGTCTCATTGTAGTTCTTTTCATTTTTATTGTTCTGAAATTATGCTTAGAAACAGACTATATGTGTTGCTTACGGCAGTTCTTGTATCCATCTGAAGAGGACTCGTACAAGTTGATAAGATTCTTGATGGAGAGGCTTTCTGAATTATCCGAAGATAGCGGAAAAGCTGGTCCCAAGGGTGTCAACGATAGAAGGGAACTGAAAGAAGACAGCTTTGAAAGCAATTTGGAGGACCACAAAACTGGTGACCAGGGACCTCATCTTAGTTATGACAAAGTCGGAGCCAAATTGGACAAACTCACATTCAATGGTAAATTGCCTGAACTAACAAATACTAATGATGAAGATGCCTCTTTCAGCGCGTCTGCTGATGCTCATCTTATTCCACAAAAATTGGATGAAAACGGTGTTGATCATGTATCCAGCTCTAGTACAGGAGAATTCAACAAGGTCGGACAGAGTAGTGTATTAAGCAGGAAGCATTCGACTGAAAAACTGCAAAATCAGGAGAAACTGCTCATGGAGGAGGTTACTGCAAAGGCTTCAGAACTAAAGCACCTTGAAGAAGAGTTAGAATTATTAAAAGAAGCAGCAGATATGGCATTTGACATCCATCATCCCATTGAATTTTACCTTGCGAAATTTAATGAGCAAGTGGATGTTCGAAAGCATCACCTTGGAGAATTAAAGTCAGAGTGGTAAGATATCAATCTTTATTTAATTTTTCATGCAAAGTTAATTGTTTTGCACTTTGCAACATCCTTCTAGAGGCGCTTTCCTACTTAATGAGCATGGGCACTAAAATATACGTTTAGAAGACACTGCACTTTAAAAGCATATGTGTGCATGCACAAGATATAGACATTTGAAAAGGTACTACCTTTGTCAGCATATATGTATGTATGCTATTGGTTTTTCATCCGTTACCAATTATTTTTTGCAGGGAAGTAGTCAGAAAGCGTTTAGAAGAGAAAAAGAAAAGTCTTGAGGAGTCTCTGTATGCAAACAACCCAGATGCTCAGGAAAAGCTCCAAAAGCTGAAAAATCTTGAACTGGAAAAGGAATCCATCTTATCTGCAGTTCAAAAAAGGTATTTTTCTGGAATGAAATGAATGAATTTTCTGGGCCATGTTCTCTACGCTCCTACTGTCTCCAGAACTTCTGTGATTCATGATTTAGTTTGGTACTGTTTAGTTTTTACAAAAGAACATATTTCATTACAAGTTACAATATGGAGGGGAAAAAGAAAACATTTTTATAGATTGCGTTAAAGATCCCCAAGAATAAAGGGTGATATAGGTTGATTGTTTCTTTCTCATGTTAATTAATTTCATAACTTTTGTTGCCTGCTTACGGGTGATGTCTTTATCATTTGGTAGGGAGGAGGAACTTTCTAAACTTTCTATGGATCTAGTGAAGCAGCCAAAACTGGAATCAAGAAGATCCTATGTTGAAAGGGTCCAGGAGATCACAAAGAACAGTCGGAAGCAAGAAGCTGACATAGAGCAGATCTTAAAAGACACCAGGGAGCTTCAGTTAGAGAGTAATTCTATCCAAGAACGTCTTCATCGAACGTATGCGGTTGTAGATGAAATGGTGTTCAGGTACAAAATTTCTTTGACCCATAAAGTGTTGCCTTAAAAAAAGACTTGGTTATGATTTGGTCCATCACCCTTCGCTTTGTAATTCAAACTCCAACTATTGTTATCTGAGGGGCATGTGTACCTTACTTGCAGGGAAGCAAAGAAAGACGCAGTAGGGAAGCAGGCTTATAGGCTTCTCACTAGCATCCACGAGACTTTCGAACAAATTCGTGAGAAAATCCTGGGAAATGATAGAATACGACGAGAAGTGGCCGAACATGAAAAGAAGCAGATGGCCATGGGCTCACGAAGCTTAAATGTGGAGAAACTACAAGCTGATCTTGATGCCATTATGAGGGAAAATGAGTACCTAGAGAAATGTCTCCATGATAAATAAGTGAACTCCTTGTGACCATAATTTATTCTTTCAAGCGTTGATATACATTATTTCGGTCATGGTTTCTCACATTTGAATTTATACACAGTAAAATTCACTTTGTTGTACTCATTTATCAAGAGGAAACAAATATTTGTGCCTACTGTCATATATCCCTTCAGGAAAGTAAGATTACCAAGTAATTTGTGTTAAGAGATATTACTGCAAGGGCTTCGGATAAGACCCTCACTATAGAATGACTCGTATTTACTTCTTAGAACTTGTTTGCAACTAAGTTTTTTATAGAGGCCCAAAGCCAGGGCAAGTACCAACCCAACGAACCTGAATCAGACATGAGCCGCCCCAGTCATAATTTCAAAAATAAGAATTAAAACATAAAATTAGGGCACTGAATTTCACCAGGCACAATAACTTTTTGCATGGTACCAATTGCCCAAAATTGTCTGCGGCCCACAAGTAAGGTGCAGCGTCAAATTTGAAGCTGTTGCTGCATTTGTTTTCTAACTACTTACGCTTTGGTGGTTGGGAAAGCAGAAGAAGTAGGGACAGATCAACGTATAAGTAGTTCTGTTGGAACTTCAGTTTTTTTAGGATGGCAGCATCTCACTTTCATTGTATTTGGATCTATGTTTGGCTCGAAATCGTATGGCAGTAGCAATTTGGATAGTGTCACGCAATTCAGATATCTAGAGTGGTTGACAATCATCGATTGATATGAATCTTACAGAAGATTATACACTAATTAATAACTCATAGTTATCCAGACATGCGAGAAGGTTTATAATTTGTATAAAAATGGCAAGGCCAATCATGCATTGTCACGTAAAAAAAATTAAAAAGCATGACAATGTGTGATTGGTTTGAGATACCGCCATAGTTGCATTTATGGAGAAAGGAAAATGATTTATCATCTATCCAAAAGATTCATATTTGGCTTAAATTAAAAGATACCATTTTCCTTTTGCACGTAACTTATTGCAAACTATTTCTAACTAAACTTTTATATTATTTTAGAAAGACCCATTAATTAGTTAATTAACTAATGGACCTCTGCTGCTTTTAATAATAGTTTACATGATTAGGATTTAATGATTTGTAGGTGAAGCTAGCTATACCAAATTAATATTTATATGAAGATGCCTATAGTTTGTTAATATCCATAATATCTAACGTATACTTTAGGCCATGAGATTATGATCACTCCATCGCTCTCACTACTTGGCGGTGACTCAAGCACATGTACTTGAATCTTTGACTATTTCTTTGATCGTACAAATCTCTTTCATGTTTCCTTAACTTCCCAGGTAACCTACATCAATTGGTAGTTCTACACCCATCAAGACTGTTATTCTCACCCGCCTGTCTCCCCACCTTGGAGCTCTCAAACATTGCAAACTAAGCAAGATGTCCTAAAACGTAACAAACTCCTTTTTCTTCAATATTCATTATTATTATTATTATTATTATTTTGTACATTATTAATTCCATTATCAAAAAGAAAGAAGAAGAAGAAAAAAAAACAGTCTTTTGAGTGTTTGTAGGATTGAAGGACTCTAATGCAATGCAACTTAGTTTCTCCTCCTTCACAACATTCAAAGAAGCTTTTTCATCTTCTGTGGATAACTGGTTTTTAATGGGTTGCTTTTTGCTTTGCTGATGATTTTGAGGGCTACGTGATCCCGTTGATTGGTGCCTCTGTTAGATCATTGGCATATGGGGCTGTTGGATTCATTGGTGGGAAACGAAGTTAAGAAGTTTGTGAAACGAAAAGACAGTGATGCAGGAGAAGCAGGTTTGACAACACATGCATTCTGTGACCTGCTGCATCATCACCATTATCATTATATGATTATATTTCTTTTTTGATTGGCTCGGTTTTGTAATGTACTGTGGCTATGGCTTCTCTTTAATTTTGTGTTCTTTTATTGAGTGAAAATATGAACACTGTTTTCTGGGTATCTGGGTTTTCCTTTTTGACACCGTATCAATGATACGTATTGCTTGTGGAGTTGTTGAAGCTGAACTTGGTTCATTCTGTTTGTGCTGCAACTACAATGGTTTTTCTGATTTATTTTGTACCAAGATAATTTGGATAGCTTCAAGTTTTTATTAGATATAAATAAATCAATAAAAGAGGTTTTATTGCCTGAATGCTTTGATTTGTTTGATAGTACACAAGAAATTGTTTCTTTTCTCAGTCCATGTGAATACTGAAACAATCTGCAGGGCTCACCAAAGCAATATGCTATTTCTTGATGTTGTGTTTTCAATTTCGTTAAGCAAATTAGTTAAATAGATAGAAGCAAGGAAAATGTGTGTGTATTAAACCCTTTTGGAAATCACAAAATGAAAATTATCTTTTCTACTTCTTCAGGTTCTTGTAGTTCTGATATTCCTAATTATCAGGTCGAGCACTGGAAGAACTCAGAGGTTCTATCTACAATGAAATTCGAACGTCAGAAGGCGCCAAGCGCCAACAGCAACGGTTTTGTGGGCCAGTCGTGGCTATGACCTTCAATTTCATTGTCTCTGTGGGGATTATCCTGGCAAACAAACTAGTCAGAGCCTTGTCCTTCTCTTCTTACCTTCTTTTTTTTAGTTAGTATGCTTTAGCAATTTTACAATGTCCATAAGATTTTTTGTTGGGAATATTTTCCATTTGATTTTAATCATTTTGTTTAACAATCTTATGCTCAAGTTGCATTTCTGCTTCCAGGTAATGGGGAGAGTTGGATTTAAGTTCCCAATCTTTCTCACATTGATCCATTATGTGACATCATGGTTGCTTCTTGCCATTTTCAAGACACTTTCAATTCTTCCAGTTGCTCCTCCGTCTAAAACTACTCCTTTCTCTTCTATCTTCTCCTTAGGTGCTGTCATGGCTTTTGCCTCAGGTCTTGCCAATATAAGCCTAAAGCATAACAGGTCCTTCCTTGCTAGCTTTCTTGCATCTTGTATGTAGTACTAACTTGTTACAAACATACATTGTTCGGCTTCCTCACCTTTCTGCTTGTTGCAGTGTTGGCTTCTACCAGATGGCTAAAATTGCTGTCACTCCTACCATTGTTTCTGCTGAGTTCATTCTCTTCAGGAAAACCATTTCTTTTAACAAGGTGAGTCAAAATACTTTTGCCCCGTTTCTTTTGCTAATCTTCGTACCTTTTTTCAGGTTCAAAGAACCATACTTCTGTTCTCGTTTCGATTTCCTATCTCTATGCAGATAATCATCGGAAGTCATGGTTGTGCAGGTTTTGGCTTTGTCTCAGCAGGTGTGGCAATAGCAACCGTAACAGACGTGGAGTTCAATGTGTTCGGTGCTTTAATTGCAATTGCATGGATAGTCCCAAGTGCCATAAACAAAATCTTATGGTCTAATCTGCAACAGCAAGCCAATTGGACGGCGCTCGCGTAAGAATTAGAGTTCTTTCTTTAAATACTTCCTCCTTAAATATGTTTAGTGAAGCAAATCGGTCAAATAATATACCCTATAAGAAAGAAAGAATGACAGTTTCTGATGTGGAAGTGTAGGCTGATGTGGAAGACAACCCCAGTCACAATATTCTTCCTACTAGCTCTGATGCCATGGTTGGATCCACCAGGAGTTTTACTTTTCCAATGGGATTTCAACAACACAACAGCCATTCTTATATCAGCACTCCTTGGTTTTCTCCTCCAATGGTCTGGAGCTTTGGCACTTGGGTGAGTCTCTTGTCACAAAGACAACTTTTGTACCTCATTTTACCTCACTGGAACAGACTTGAAGTGGCTAGTTCTTGTTCTGTTTATGCAGGGCAACCTCAGCGACTTCACATGTTGTTCTTGGACAGTTCAAGACTTGTGTGATACTACTAGGGGGCTATCTTATATTTAATTCGGATCCTGGTTTTGTGAGCATTTGCGGGGCTCTTGCAGCCCTCTGTGGAATGTCTGTTTACACATCACTAAACCTGCAAAAGTCGCAAGACAATGTGAGCATGCAGCTCCCAAAGCAAAGCTTACCGACATTAAAACCAAAAGCCACCGACGAAGAAAGTGTAGAGTCAGATGTAGAGGATACCACCAACCCCACAACTGCTGTGTGAACCAAGCAGGCTTACAAACCATTTTTGTGTGTTTGAGATGTAGAGAAGATACAGCAACTACTGTTGTCTAAACTCTAAACCAAGCAGGCTTACAAACCATTTTTACTCATGCAGTTGTCAAATGAAACAAAATAGAAAAGGAAATTCTCTTACACCAATTACAACTTTTTTTCTGTATGCAAGTGATATCGTGAGGCGGAAATCGAACACATGAAATGGTCATTAACCACTTAAGTTACATTGCATACCAGTTACAACTATGATTCAACATTCTCTGTCATACTAAACAGGTGAGACATCAGAAAGCAAAAATTGGTGAGGTCCACCTTTAAGTGATTATATTATTAATCAATAAAATGTGAATATCAGATGGAAGCCTCTCTTGAGCCTAAGAACATGTCTTCACATAAATTTTATCCTCCCCTCGACCCTTTAATGCATTATTCATGATGGATTTGTTTAATCTTGAGTTTTTTTCCGTCTTTTAGGGGAAGAGAAACACCAATCGCTAAAAGCTCATCCGCATACTGAGAAAAGTATGTTGCCATCTAATTTTTTTCATTTTCTGGTAAATTTTAGTTTTAAAATGATAGCCATTAAGAAACGAGTACTCTTCCTTCCTTCTTTTTTTTCCGTACTTTCTTGCAATTTTTGGTAGCGAAAAACAATTGTTAAATGAAACCAAACAGAGAAGGCAATTCTCATAGACCAATTACAACCGTATAATACGACATTCTTTGCTATCATTAATATACAGGTGAGACATCAGAAAGGAAAAATTGGAAAATCCCACCTCTACTCTATCATCCTCTTCTCTTACTTCTCCTATAACATCTTAAAGGAATTACTAAGTTTCAAAGCTAAATACTCATTTCCAACCAAGGGATTTTTCTTTTTGAAAAAAAAAAAAGAACAATTGGGTGATTTGCAGCAGCCTCCATCAACGACAATGCAGAATTAAATTTAGAGAACATGAGCGACGTTAGGGAGCAGGATTTGATTGAGAATATAGACTAAAAAGGGTGATGAGAAACTTCAATCTAACCATGATTCAGAAGAAACAACCACAAGAGGATTTTTATTCAAAACGCCCTAGCGGACTTATTCACTAATCTAAAAGGAAAAGACGAGAAGAGATAAGGGGGAGGAGGGGCAGTGACGATTCTTCCTCCTCCCCCCTTTGTGGAGTTTTTCTTTAGGACTCACAGAGGGAGAGAACGGCTAGGGGTTCTTGGCAAATGAATAACTACTTGGTTGTATATGTTTATATTACCTATATATACATATACAGTTCTTCTCTTATGCGAACGTCCATACGTTATTACCGTGCAGACATCATTGTAAACATAGAGGAGAGCAAGGAGGGGTAGTAGAAAAAATATAGATATTTATTCAAAAACTCATTTTAGCATGACATATTATACAAAAACTCATATAGAGCCTATTTGGAGAGAAAAACTCAAAATTAGCCACTTGTTATTCTAATTGGTTCTTAGGGGGAGTGTATTCAATTAAGATTTTAAAAGAGTTTAAAAATCTAGATGTATTCAATTAAGATTTTAAAAGAGTTTGTAAAAGTTTGGGTGTATTCAATTCATATTTCAATTGATTATAAAAAAATACATCGAAATCTAGGTGTATTCAATTATGACTTTTTAGAAGTCAAACTAAATTTAGGTGTATTCAAAAAGTCATTTATTTTGAAGGAATTAATGAGTTGCCCGATTTCATTAGAATTTAAAGTGGTAAGAATAGATGAGGAAAGCAAAAGACAATAAAAGATGAACCATGGAAAAACCCAAACCTATCTTCTTTCAACTTCAGATGGTCAAGATGATATTCCAAAAATGTCTGGGCAGCATTTCATATTTACACTCAAAACATACCAGATATCAGATTCCCAGTTTAACTCGATCCTCAGAAGATGTGTTATATATCCAGTGTACTTCGATAGTCCCTTATGAATTTCAAAGTGACAGTGGCTTGATAAAAGGAACAAGAGAGGTTTTGAGTTCCACATGGTGTATTCAATTAAGAGTTTAAAAGAGTTTAAAAGAGTTTAAAAATCTAGATGTATTCAATTAAGATTTTAAAAGAGTTTGTAAAAGTTTGGGTGTATTCAATTCATATTTCAATTGATTATAAAAAAAAATACATCGAAATCTAGGTGTATTCAATTATGACTTTTTAGAAGTCAAACCAAATTTAGGTGTATTCAAAAAGTCATTTATTTTGAAGGAATTAATGAGTTGCCCGATTTCATTAGAATTTAAAGTGGTAAATATAAATACAAAAGGCCCTAACAAATCTTATGTCAACCCTAGAAACTTTGAAAGTACTCCACGCTTTCCAATCTTTGAATGTGTGTGCTTGTCAAGTGGAAGTAAAAAAATCGCCTCTTTTTCTACTACGCTTTCATATATGTATGATCTCTTATCTTCCCAATAGTTGCTGTTATTGTACATCTCATATATCATATACCTTCAATATCGATAGTCTCTGAACATTTGTTTCTCCTTTTTCCCAATAGTTTTTGTTGTTGTTACAAATAAAAAGTTCCAATCTCTTCTCTTTGAATAGTTGATGTTGCTATACATCATATAGCGATGTACAGTAGCATCCCAATTATTTTTTCTACTTTTCCTTCTTCTTGTTTTATTTTTTATTTTCGTTGCTGTTATTTTTTATTTGTTTTTGTACATCATATCATATATATGCTATAGCCTTCTTTATCGATCTACAAGCATCCTTTTTTTTTTGTTCTGCCTTTTTCTTCTTTATATTAGTTGTTTATAATGTCATATGTGCAATTCAGATTTTTTTTGTCATTAATGGAGACGGAAGAAGTAGACGCAGTGCTAAATGGACGACGAAGAATTAGAGAAACATTATTCTGAAACAATAAGGATATTGTTGATGGCAACTCTAATCAAAAGAAAAAAAAAAACATTTTAGAACTCTAATCAACTCTTTTAAAATCTATGATAAAACTCTAACAAACACCATTAAAATCAATTTAGGAATTCAATCAAACTCTATGTGGAGTTGATAAAAATCAATTGAAATATATTGAACTCTATAAACTTTATAACTCCATTAAACTCTTTTAAAATCTTAATTGAATACACCTTGTGATGAATAATAAGTCTAAATTGATTATTTGATCAAGTAGGAGAATGTAAGAAGGTTTATTGCCTTAAACCTACTGGAGTGATCTTCTAATAAATAAAGGATTGCAGAGACTTATTATTTATCAAGGACTCAAATCCTATCTCGATTAGGCAGCCTGCAAATCAGTGTTCAAGATGGTTTACAAAAGGCTTAAGGGTTCCTAGTTCTATAAGGATTGGAATACATCAGTTCTATGGCATAAAGGATATCTCTAAGTGTTTCTTGATGGCCAAGACTGTTAGAAAGTAAATACAATTTAGATAGGAAAGAAATCTATAATTGATCCATATCCAATCCTTACCTTAGATGGTATTCCTAGATAGTAGGATTCCTTATTGTACAAGGAATACGTGTGTATATATTCCAGTGTTATTAATAAAAGTTTATTCCAGCCAAATATCCTTTTCTACATAGTATCAGAGCAGGCTTCGAAACCCTAGTTCCTTTTTTCTCTCTCTCGTCTCTCACACATGGGTGACGACAATTCTTCTACACAGGGCAGCAGCGATGCTGTTGACCCCCTTTTTCTCAATCATTCAGACCACCCCGGATTGGTCCTTTGTTCAAAGAAACTCAATGGTGACAACTACAATACTTGGTCTCGATCAATGCGTATCTCTCTTAGTGCCAAAAAAAAAATTGGATTCATAGATGGATCTATCAAAAAACCAAGGGCAGATAAGAAACCTCTTGATTCTGCAGCATGGCAGCGATGCAACGACATGGTAGTGTCGTGGCTTTTGACTTCCTTAGAACCCGATGTGGCAAATAGCGTCATCTACTTGTCCACTGCTCACGAAATCTGGGAGGACCTTCGAGAGCGTTTTTCTCAAAACAATGTCCCTCGTCTCTTTCAAATCAATCGCGAGATCGCTTCTCTCACCCAGGGGCAGCTTTCGATTGCTGCATACTACACCAAATTAAAGGGCTTTTGGGATGAGTTGGCCTCTTTCAGTGAGGCCACATCTTGCACATGCGGCGCACAGAACGAAACCAATCGGCTTATGCAATTTCTTATGGGATTACCTGAATCTTACAGTGCAATCCGTGGGCAGATTTTGTGGATGAAACCTCTCCCGACAGCTCGACAAGCCTATTCCTTCATCTCACAAGAAGAGAAACAATGGGAACTTGGCTCCACCCGTCCTCCAGATTCACAGACTGCAGCCATGGCCGTTCGTAACGACTCTCGCACACGTTCAGGAGGAGATCGGCCTCCACTTCACTGCACCTACTGCAACTATGATCATCATACCTGAGACACCTGCTACCAACTTCATGGGTACCCACCTGGGCACCCCCGCTATAGACAGAAGCTCACTCCACGCCGCAACCACACTAACGGCGGCAGTAGCAGTCGACACACTACCAACAGCGTTGGCAGCAGTGGCCACCGCTCTCATGCCACCTCTTCTGCACACCAAGTCACCGTCGCTGCTCCGACTCTCCAAGACATTTAGTCTGCAATGCCTCACTTATCCGACAGCCAGTATCAACAAATCATGTCTATGATGGCCGAGACATCCAACTCTCCTCTTTCCAACCCACAAGCACATGCCGCTTCTGCCAGTTCTTTTTCCCAAGGTTTGTCACCCGTCGTCTCCTCTCATGGTCAATGGATCATTGACAGCGGCGCGACGAATCACATCACATGCTCCCATCATTTATTGACAAACAGTTCACCCACAAATCATTCACCTCCAATTTCCCTGCCTAGCGGAGACAAGGCTCAAATTACTTTGACAGGAACCATTCCTTTAAATTCCTATACACAATTGCAAAATGTTTTATGTGTGCCTAGTTTCAACATTAATCTTTTATCAGTTAGTAAAATTACAGATGGGTTACGTTGTTCCGTAACTTTTTTTCCTTCTTGGGTTATTTTGCAGGACTTGGTTTTGAAGACGACGATTGGTGTGGGTAAGTGATGAGGAGATCTTTACTACCTAGTGGCACTCGGCTCCACCACCACAAATGACCATACACC